CTCAATATAAAGAAAACGAAAATCCTCACAACTGGCCCAATAAGCAGCATCACGATAGATGGAGAAAAGACTGAACTTGTCAAAGATTTCATATTACTTGGTTCCACAATCAACACCAATGGAAGCAGCAGCCAAGACATTAGATGACATACTGCACTGGGAAAATCTGCTGCAAAAGGCCTCTTTAAAGTGCTGAAGAGGAAAGAGATGTCTCTTTGAAGACCAAGGTGCATGTAACCCAAGCCATGGTATTTTCAATCACTTCATGTGCATATGAAAGCCGCACAATGAATAAGGAAGACCAAAGGAGAATTGATGCTTTTGAGGTGTGCTGGCAAAGAATACTGAAAGTATGGACTGTGAGAAGAACACACACATCTGTCCTGGAAGTGCAGCCAGAATGCTCCTTGGAAGCGAGAATAGCCAGACTTTGTCTCACCTACTTTGGTCGTGTTGTCAGAAGGGACCATTCCCTGAAGGAGGATGTCATGCTTGGTAAAGTGGAGGGTCAGCAAAAAAGGGGAAGACCCTCAACAAGATGGATTGGCACTGTGGCTGCAATAATGGGCTCACATACAGCAAGTATTGTGAGGCAGGTACACAACCAGGCAGTGTTTCATTGTGTTGTACATAGGGTCACTAGGAGTTGGAGTCAACTTGACAATACCTAACAATGTGAATTAAAAAAAAAAAAAAAAGGAGGCGTAGTGGTGAGCCGAGTTAAAAGTAGAGAAGTTCAGGAGTTAAAATAGATGGGAGAGTAAACTATGGGGTTGAATATGACAGTCTTGGGAAAGAATTCAGGAGAAAAATGCTGACAACACACTCATGAGGAAAGCTACATTCAAGAGAAGACAGAGGAAGAGGAGCCCAAAGAAGACCGAATGAGTAACCAGGAAGTTAGCATCCCATGAGGATCCACAGCAGGCACTGCCAATGGTGCAGCAAACTCAAAACGTCAGATCACTGAGTGTGAGGTCAGAAACTAGATTCACATGGGTCTAGGCAGGAAGCAGAGCCAACTCTCATTCCTCTCATAGCCAAGAACTTTGAGGTTACAGGGAGGGGAGAAGGAGAGTGGTATTTCGAAGAGAAGTAGATAGAACTGAGGAAGGAGGCTTTTTTTTTTTTTCTTTTTTTTAAGATGAGAGAAACTTCCAATGCTTAAAATGCTCACAAACGAGGCTGAGAGAAGGCAACGATTTTAGGCTGTTAAAGGATGTGAGAGGGTAAGGGGGCTAGGCTCCAGAATACAGGAGGAGGTAGAGGACTGCACTGTGATGTGTGAAGTACAAGGTAAGGTGGTCTGTTGTGGAGTGAGCAGTATGTGTGTAAAACCAAAAAAACAAACCCATAGCCACTGAGTGGATTCATACTCATAGCACCCTTTAGGACGGAGTAGAACTGCCCTATTAGGAGTTCTGGTGATGTACTGGATAAAGTGTTTGACTGCTAACCAGGTCAGTGGTTCAAACTTACCAACTGCTCTGCAGAAGATTGCCAATCTACTTCCATGAACATTTACAGCCTCGGAAACCCGATGGGGGTTGCCATGAGTCAGAACTGACTTGATGGCATTGAGTTTGGTTTTTTTGGTTTAGAACTGCCCTGTATGGTTTCTGAGGCTATAAATCTTTATGGATACAAACTGCCTCATTTGTCTCCTGAGGAGCATCTGGTGGGATGCTCGAACTTTTGCTTGGCAGCCAAACACTTTGAACACTATGCCACCAGATAACATCCTCATTGTATGTATAAAGATTGAGGAAAATGGAAACAGTTTGAGAAATTACTGTGGAAAAATCGGAGTGGGACTGTTTTTCTCAAATTGATTTTGTGTTTTATAGCTTCTGAAACTGGTATCCCAAAAGATGGTTTCATTCTGTTTGAAAGTACAACTTTAAAGTTCACTGGATTAAATAAAACTTGAAAGTTCCTTTATTACAGGATTTTTTAGTCTTAATTTGTATACTGAATCTTTAAGAAAAGGGATATATTATTTGATGCTGGAACCTCCTTTTCTCCCCTTTGCCTGATAACCATTAATCTTCTTGGACTCTAGAATCCAATTTGATAAATAATACTGAGTTATGCTGTAAGCTGAGTTGATGCTACAGACTAAAATGGATTGAACTAGCCTGCAAGGTTCATACAAAAAAGTTAGGAATGTGAAGGAAACAAAAACAGCCAAGCATCATTTCTGCCCTGGAAGAATTCCTGAAAGACCTCTGCAGCACTGATAGCGTGGAAGCGTGGCAACATGGAGTGCTTATGACGTCACGGGCCCTGCCAAGTGCCCTGGCATTATTTTATTCCATGTACAGAATGACCCAAGATGGAGGCAGATCCCCATTTTCAGATGTGGAAATGCAGAGAGGTGACATAATATCATAGAGCAAAAAACTAAAGCCCAGGCAACATGTATCATGCTGCTAAAAGTATAGACCAAAGTATATCATTCAGACAGGGCCAGTCTTGCATCTTTCACCTGTCACTCTGTACCATACAGAAGACAGTACAAAGAAAATGCAATGATTTGCCACCATGATAGCACATCACACAGAACCACAACTACTACAGCAAAACTGTCACTTTCAAGTCCCAATTCTGGCAATAAAAAAGGTTAGAAACCAAGGGAAATACAGGGCACAGACATTAAAACAGACATCTTTTTTCCTTATGCCTATGTACCCACCTGTAATTTAGTGTTTACTGTTACCGATAATGCAGTATGGTGTATGCAGTGCTATTTGCCTTTACTGTCCTTACCTCTTGTGTAACCCTCTTTGTCTTCCTTTTCCTCAGTGATACTCTGCTAGTCACATGCTTTTGTTACACTGATTTTCCTTTCACCATCCATCATTCTGTGGATGGAGTAAGACAATGCAGGGCATTTAGCAGAGCCTGTAACACCATAAAGCCAAAAAAGCCAAACTCACTGCCAGCAAGTCAGATCCAACTCATAGCAACCCCTCCTTGGATTTTCAAGGCGGTTATCACTATGGAAGTAGATTGTCCAACCTTCCTTCCAAGAAGTGGCTAGTGGGTTTGAACCTCTAGCCTTCTGGTTAGCAGCCAAATGCCTTAGGCACTATGCCAGCAGAGCTCCCCATAACATCATAAGCACTCCATGTTTGCTACCCTTCCACACTACCAGCACTGCAGAGGTCTTTCATGAAATGATGCTTACCTTGTTTTTGTTTCCTTCACAATCCTAATTTTTTTTTGCATGAACCTTGCAGTCTAGAGTTCAATCCATTTTAGTCTCTTAATTATCCATCTATTTTCCTTCCCTTCCCCACCTCTCCCATCCCTGGTAACCAAGAAAGAAAATTTCCTTCCCTGTGTAAACTTTTTCTTGACTCTTTACAATAATGGATTCATACAATATTTGTCCTGTGATTAACTAATTTCACTAAGCATAATGTCCGCCAAGTTCACCCATGTTATGAAGTGATTTGCTCATTCTTTATTATTCTTTAATGTTGCATAAAGTGACATCTTTAAAGAATGCTTTCAACTATTTTCATCTGGGGAGGAAAAATCAGGTCCCATCTCCACCCCACTCCCCAGCACACCATTTTCAAGGTTCCTCTAACCAAACAGCCTTGTCTCAACTATCTTAGTCCTGGGCCTCAACACTGTGCTTTACATTTTAAATTGCAGCCTGTATTAAAGACCTTGTTCTTTAACAGCAGACATTTCCTGGTCCTTGGAAACAGAGCTAAATCAAGCCTGTCATCTGATTCCTGCCATGTGATAAAAACAAGGCAATTTAGTAGCTATCAAAGTAGACAATAGGATTAGTTCAGCTCGAGAAGAACCCGAAGAAAAGCTGCATCATCCCATTCTGATTACATCTTAATCTGTGGGCAATAACAGATACCTCATATAAGACTTACTATTTCTCTGAAAAGAAAGATTTAAAAATCTTAAAACAACAGATATTTTTAAAATATGTATTTAACAATTGTGAACATAATATAGTAGAACACTGCAAGGCAGATAAGACAGCCTCAGCTCTAGTCTTTGCCCCTACAACCAACTAACCTATGTCACTGGATAAGCCACCCAGTCACTCTGGGCCTTAGGTTTTTAATCTGTAGAGCAGATGCAAGAACTAGGTGACCCAGGTCTCTTCTAGTTTACCATTCGAAGACTTACCATTCTGGGGGTAAGACTTAACAAAAATTTTCTAAACAGAAACAAATTACCCATAGTAACTCACTGCTGTGGAGTCAGACCCGACTCACAGCAACCCCTCCTTGGGTTTCCGAGGCAGTATATCTACAGAAGTAGATTGCCCAACCTTCCTTCCGAGGAGTGGCTGGTGGGTTTAAACCACCAGAGCTCCCTCACCCAGAGTAGCAGTACCCAAAACAAGCACTGCTAAATATTTTGTATTTCCTTAAGCTTCGTGTATCCTGTTCTTTGTGTATCTTTTAAAAAATAAACTTGCTTTTAAAGCATCTCAATTTTTTCATATCATTAAAATTATGTTGAAGATTGAATATTCAAAGAGCTCTGTAGACTTTTGTAAATAATGGAAGCAATACTCCTCTGCTAGACATGTGGACTGCTCCTAATTTTCCACTAACAAAGCTGCAATAAATACAAATAACCTTTGCACAAGCACTCAATTGTTACTTAGCAAAAGAAATGGAAGAAGGGAGAAAGCAAAAGATACCCACTTGAAGGGCTTTAGATAGGTATCACTAAACTGACTTTCAATTCTGTACCAGTTTATATTCTCAACAAGTATGCAAAGGAGAGTTTTGAGAAAAATAAAAAAAGACAAGAAGACACTACCATGATACCATTTTGGCAAAACTGAAGAGGAAGAGGTCAAACTTAAAGAGTAGCAGAACTATCAGATCTAAACCCAATAATGAAGCAGTGGAAATAATCCCGTGGCCCACCATGACCCTGTCCAATGTTCTCTGGAGCAAAGTTAGTTTAGTCTGAGTCGCAAAAGCAGTCTTCCCTCAAATGCCACTCACCTCTCTAGCTGCCAAGACGATTGTCGTGAGCTGAGAGCGATCACCCCATTCTGCTAAGAACGTTAATGTAAGAGCTTGAACGAAGATGGGTGAGATAAAATGCAACCACTTCTTCTGAGGTATCGTTGTGCTTGGACCCGTTTCAACATCTCCTGGTCCATTTAAGAGTTTAGTTCGTTGAAGCTAAATTTGGGGGCGTGGAAAAAAAAAATTAACCCAAGTACATTAATCTCAAAATAGCACAAAATGCAGTATTAAGCAAAAAATCACTTAATCTTTTCAAAGTGTTTAAACTCTGTGGAATATGTTCTAAAGGAACTAAATTGTGACTCCAAACTTCCCCTTTCAACCATCAGTTTCATGTAACAGCAAACGCTGTATGAATTCTTTCATACCTCCCCAACAAAATAAACAATATTTACTAGTCACTTACTATCTCAGTGCTGTGAAAGAAACATGTAAAATGATAAAATACTGTTTCTGCTTTTCAGGAGCTTACAATTAATCTAACTAAGGAACTCAATTACACACGTTCAGTATTCGCCTCTCAGCTTCCTCTACCACATTCACACTAACCCTGACAGAATCGTATTGCAGCCAGCTCTAAGAATGGAAACTAGGTGAAACTACTCAACTGTGTGGCCCACACATGATCACAAAGATGTAACCACTGAAAACCTCTCCATGCTGTTCTTAGCTGAGAGCCTTTTTGGTCTAGATATCTGGCAGTACTACAACTTACTTCTTCATCTTTCTTCTTTATTTCTGCTTGAACTTCTTCTAGTTCCTCTTGACCCTCATCTGGGCTCATCTTTAAGCCTTCTCGAAGCATTCTAACGCCAAAAATGGCAAATAATGCAGTAGAGACATAGTACGTATATACTCTGGGGATGACTGTAGTGGCATAGCCAAATAACACTGGAAGAAAATGCAAAAGTATACCTGATTAATTATCATGCATCATAACTAGTCAAAGGAATAGTTAACTTCACTCTTTTAATGGAAAAATGTTTCACAACAGAAGGTGCTCTAACTTACAATAGCCTTAAATCATTCCACTTGTTTTTATAGATAACTTTTGTACAAGTACTTAGTTATTTCCTCAGTATAAGGAATGAAATTCAGGACCAAAAAATGAACAATGTGAAGCCTTTGGGTATTATATCTATACTATTATACCAGTTTATAT